GAAACCTAATTACATAGTTTTGAATTGACATCTTGCTTTAATGATAATAAAAAAAAATTGAGATTTTGTTTACATTTTATTGCAATATTTCAGAGAAAATTTTATTTGGAAATTCTGGATATTTATATATTGTATATACATATATTACGTATTCTCTGTAAAAACTAAAAGTTACAAAAAATTCTGTTCTCGAAGGTACTTATTCTAAATACGAATACTTTTATATGTAGAGAAAAACCGGATGCAGATACTCTCGTGTACATATATGTACATATGTTTAATGAACCACGAGACGAACTTACATGCAAGCAACGTGATGTTACTCCTTTCATTCCCTTGTCCTTATAGATTCCATCGTTTTTTTTTTGTACGGCCCTCCATACATACACACATGTACACATATACGTATACATACGTACACACATGAAATTGGATCACAGACGGTCGTATAACCACCCGATGCACATGTTTCTGCGTACACAAATAAAAAAAAAAAAAAAATACATGACACCTAATCACACGTTTACTTTACGCGGTGTAACGTACAACGTACGTGACGAATGCATACGTAATTATTGTGGCCTCGGCATTATACTGAGTACTCACCGAGATGTGCCCTGTTTTAACGCGGCTTGTGACGTCAAGTAGGTACGTAGATACTTTTACAACTGTAAATATTCCCCTCACTTGTATAAGTGCCCTCGTATGGGACGTGTACCTTCCATTCCTATACTCTGAAATCTTATCTATCTAGCAAAAAAAAAAAAAAAAATCTGTCGCACATTTAAGAATGAATGTTAATGTCAATCGTAGAAAGCGCCATCCAAGGAGATTGGCTTGCGTTTCAAAGAAACACGTTCTGTATCTATGTGATTCCCCCTGTGCACGTGAATGCATGAATGTGAATGCAGTGATGTACCTTTGTCCAATTTGGCTTTTTCTCTGGATATATTAAGTTATATCCTTATAGAGAATGCATGACTCGAAATAAAGGTTTAATTACATTTCATTGAAGATTCAATATCCAGATAGCGTGTACTTGTAAATTTTCTCTGTATAAAATACAGAACAAGTGACATTTCTTCATAGCATCCCATAATGCCACTTAAATTCTTTCTTTCTCTTTATTATCTTTTAACTTATAATTCTGAACGAGCACTACTTTTTCTATATACTATGTTTTTATACATACTCTCGTTTTATTTTTATTTTCTTTTTCTTATTTCAAAGTTTACTACACAGAGATTTAGATGAGATGCCATTTTTTAATTATTACCTACAGAATATAAGTAACTGCTTTGACACAGCTTCGTCACAGCTTATATACATATATGTACTTGAAATATGCAATTAAAATAGAATATTTTTTGTATTTGTAAAATTTGGAAAATTTTTTTATAACATTTATAAACATACACATTTATTTATTTTAAATTTTTATAGTGGTCACACGATTGAAATAAATACTTGTGTATTTTGTACGGCATGTCTTTCTAGAGTACATATTATATATTTATAAACAAAGTTTGCACGCTGTCCTTATTTATATATCACTTATGTCGCTGTCATTATATTATTTATAATGTCGCGTAAGTAACGTAGTACAAAATCAGTCCTCGCGTAGTTCTACATATATACATATATATTTTTTTCACTTTTTTTGTGCCAGTGTCATATGTAGATGTCTGCGGAAGTGCCATTTGTGTAAAGAAAGAGATCGATTACATATCACGCGAAATAAATGTTCACATTCAGTATGTATATATATATTCGCATCTTTTTACACGTTTAATTTCATTGGGATTGCGATATACTGTGCGAGTAGCGTATAATGTAAAATCTTAATAGATATACCCTTTTATATTCAGAGAAAAGAAACATCAGCAAGTATTTACAAATTGAACGGTGCTGAAACGTTCCCTCGTGAAACGTGAATGATAATGTCAAATAAAACTCGATAGTATCATATTTTGTGGAGGAATTATAATATTTAATATGATAGAATTATAAATATTTTAAGAACGCAAAAAATCGTTGTTCAAATTTCTCCACAATCTTGAAAGAATGAAAAAAACAAATTCTACCTGTCCCTAAAAGTCCCTAAATTATACCATTATGCGATGATTGATTCATGCGATATTTTCGTAGCCAAGAAATGCGATAAAAATTTTCATATTCTTGATTACGAGAAAAGGCAATTAGAAATTGTCATTAAAATGACATACGTCGTAAATTCGTTTGGATGCGTTCGAATGTGACGTCACGTTTCAGCGTCGTTCGTCCTTTCGCTCCGTCGCCTCCGCGGCCGTCATTGTCAGCCGCCACCGGGCGACGACGTCTGTTTAATGACCGGCCTGGCCATCGTGTTCCAGGTACAGTCCTCTGGCGGGTGACCTTCTCGCGAACTCGATGCTGCCCGGTAACACGATGAACGGCGCCGGCTGGTGCATCTTCGTGTACAACCTCGCACCCGAGACCGAAGAGAACGTGCTCTGGCAGCTGTTCGGACCCTTCGGCGCCGTCCAATCGGTCAAGGTCATACGCGACCTTCAGACGAACAAGTGCAAGGGCTTCGGGTTCGTGACGATGACCAACTACGAGGAGGCGGTGGTGGCCATACAGAGCTTGAACGGGTACACCCTGGGCAACCGCGTGCTCCAGGTCAGCTTCAAGACGAACAAGAGCAAGGCGGCGTAGGACGAGCAACAAGCGGCAGCGGCGGCGGTGGCTGCGGCTGCGGCCGCGGCGGCGGACGCGGCGGCGGTAGCGGCGCCTTATCATCATCATCGTCGTCATCGGCTGCTACGTACCGCGGCGGTGGTACAGCTGCCGGTGCCGATGCCGGCGGGTCACCTCTACAACAAGCGGCCAGGTCCTGGCGGCCAGGTGCCGGGCGGCATTGGCAACAACGGCATCAATAGCCACATTGGGATCGGCGGCACCGCCGGTGGCATCCTTCACGGAGGAGTCAAGGGCCAACGGCAGCCGTTCCTTCAGCGTCTACCGTCGCGCATACACGATCTCACTCGGGCAATCGAGATGGCAGTTTCGGGAGCGGCGAACACGGCAACGCAGCAACATCAACAGCAGCAGCAGCGTCAGCACGCGCAAGCCAAGCAGACCTCCCTGAAGAGCAAGCCCAATAACAATCGTCAAGCCGGCAGCAAAAAGCTCCAGCAGAGCGAAAAAGTGTAGTTGCAAGGAGTGTGTGAGAGAGAAAGAGGGAGAGAGAGACTGAGCGTATGTGTACTTGTGTACTTCGTGTGCGTGTGTATGTGTGAGAGAAAGAGAGGGAGAGAACGGTTGAAGAAGAGAGAGAAGTAATGAAGGAAATAGAAAGGAGGCCGCGCGAGAGATAATTAGAAAGAAGTAGGTTAGATCGTTCGACTGTCCGATATGTAATCGTGGACTGTGCATGTGGGAAAGCTCGAAGGAAAATAACGGGGAGGGGGGTAGAATAAAAGGGATGCGATATTAACGAGTCCTCTCGTGTCCTCACATTCCCCTTTTTTTTCCTCGCTGCGCTCTTCCTCTTTCGGGTTTCCGTTCTTGCTTGCATTCGGTCGTAATCGTAGATGAAAGAAAAGAAGGCACGTCTTGGAACATCCTTGGCGTTTTATTGACACGAGCAAAATTGTAAGAAATTTGACAAGGAGGACGAAAGATTGAAGCGCGTTTTTGCCTTTATCTTACGTTTCTTTCACAATCATGCTGCAAGATGCCAAGTAGGAAATTTTATTCCTAGTTACAAAGGCGTAAATTTTCTTGACCAGATGACGCGCGGGGATGATAGGAGAATAACACGAAGAGACTAGATGAAAAAAAGAGCCGTACCGAAATTCGCATTAGGTCTTACGGGTGACTCGCACAGCGTTCTATTCGCGGGTCCTGTATATACATATTGCCGATTTATATGTATGCGTACGCGAAAGCATGCTTGTGGACCAAGTGTGTAAACAGGACGATAGCTCGTAAAGAGCTTTGAAGCTTGAGGGAAGAGGAAGACGCAAAAGATCGAGGTATGAAAGTGAGGAAGGAAGACAGAGAGAAAGAGAGAGAGAGAGAGAGAGAAAAAGGACTTTCCCTTCGATTAGCATTTGACGATGCGTCGAGAGCCTCCGCCGGGCATTTCGGCCGATCTTTCTTTATATATATATATATATATATATTTTTTTTTTTTCTTCTACTTAATGTACATCCATGACCGGGTTAGTCACGACGATATCGGGCTGTGAGACTGAATCACACACATCAGACACGCAATTAATATACACATACACGTATACTTGCACGTACAAGTAGAACGATCACCAAAACGCGCGGTTAAGAATGGCAGGCTGTCGTAAAAGAGAACATATTTCGGAACGCGCTCACGTGAGATAAAACTCGTCGAAATGCGGGAGATATATAAGAGCGGATGGGAGAGAGAGAAAGGGAGAGAGTGAAAGAGAGCAAGAGAAACAGAAGGAAGAAAGATAGAGGGGAGTATAAAAGAATGAAATCTCAGAGAAACACTCACACACAGTGCTTAGTAGTAGGTGGTTATACATACTCGTTTTATGTATAAGTTTTAGAGTATTAGCGTCGTATGGATGAGAAACAGGAGAGAAACAGATAGGGAGTACGGTGAGGGTACGAAGTGCAAAGGGAAGGAGGTATTGGGAGGGGGGTGGGGGTGGGGGAGGGGAATAAAAGGGTAAAATTGATTTTGTGGGTTCATAAGAGAATGTAAAATGCGCCAGGGGCCGGTTATGATTAATCGAGAAAAGGCGAAAAAAGTAAACCAAGTATTGTGGGGCAGGGCTCGCACTCACGTGTTCGTACGATCGCACGGAGCAGATTTCAGTGTGCGGGCACGATGTGTACCTTAATGTAACCCCGTAAGTTTAATTAGGATGTTACCGTTTGAGTATCGACACTATGGACACTATGGACGTATTTATTCTCGGGCGAGGCGGTTCCCCGGAGGATCGCGAGCGGTTCTCGGGGCTCGGTATAGGGTAGAAAGAGAAAGAGAGAGAGAGAGAGAGAGAGAGAAAGGGAGAGAGCACGGCCTGTGAGGGATCGCGAAGCGATCTAACTGCGTAACTATAATAACCACTTCGTGCTAGTCAGAACTCAGGTGGTCTCCATTGCCACGCATACGTGTCGATGATACGCGCGTATATAGTGTGTCTCTTTCGTTTTCTTTTTTTTTTTTTCCTTTTTTTTTATATGAGACGTATTTATTAGGTAGTAAAAATATGCTTTCGCAGGATCGGATTCTCTGACTCTCGATAATTATCCGCGAGGATGCACCGTCCGAGAGGACATTTTACAAGATGTTACATAGTTTCATGTTTCGTCGATTCTTTTATAGTTCCCTTCGAAGAGATTTCGTAAATACCGGGAACGAATAATGATAAAGGAAGAACGGGTTTCTTGTTTGATTAAAAAAAAAAAAAAAGAAAAAAAAATTCAAAATGCTTTAATCTTTTACATATATAAATATATGTACAGCTTTTACACTTTACAATACGTGAGACGTTAGATAATAATTCAGAGCGTATGATCGCTCGAGTGTCGTGTTTAATTACGTTTCTTGTCGTTGATTAGCATTGCACGTTTCGTCGCTCCTGGGAAAGATTCACGGTTTGTATCGAAAATTGCATAAATACAACGAGAGAAAACGACGATATTGTTCTATGAGACAGAAGAAAGGGATATTGCAACATCCGTTATTTTATCTTTGTGTCGCGGAACATTGATATTGTTCTCGTTTGAAAATATCGATATTACAAAAAAATTATGCACTTTGCGGATTGGATCTCTTTAGAACTTTGAAATTCTTAAAGAGAATCCCGTTCCTGCATGTACTTCGAGGACGGTGCATGCGACCGGTATGTGATACGGATTAATGACAAGATTGCAATGATTGACGTTCGATCTCAGGTCAGATTAAGGAATCACGCATCTAGTCTATGTGCAAGTTATCGCGTCGTCGGCGCAGTTTCGCGTTTAAAGAAAGATAAAAGGCAGATAACGACACGTAAACACCGGGAAGTTGGGAGCGGACGCAACGACGAACGCGGCTAACGATAAGTGAAATGGCGCGAAGCAGGCGAGCCGGATCCTCACGCTCGTTCGTGTGATTATCGTTGCCATCCTTTCGAATGACGATGAATCGATTCGGTTTATTGACTGTAATTGTATCACATAGACACGAAATCCTGAAGCGATTGCTCCGCAGCTGCGAGCACTTTTAGTAGAATCGTTGTCCCAAGGAGACTTGATGCGATCCGCAGGTCAAGGAATGATTCTCCGCAGTTGTAAGTAATTCAGAAATCCCTTTCCGAAGGGTGATTCTCTTCGATTCTGCACGTAGAGATTACCACATAAAGATTAGATAATGAAAGATCGATTTTTCATACCCGCTTCCATCACTTCTCCCGAGTGATCTTTCAACAAATGCAGAGATACGCAGAGTCCTTGATCCGGCGATCGCGAATGAACTCCCGAACGGAAAACGATCCACGACAGATCTCCGGATTGCGCGAGGCGAGCATGAGGACGCGGATTACGCGTACTTAATTGCGAGTAGAGCGATATACTCGGTTAAGGATAGATTTAGTCAAGGAAACCAAAAAAAAAAAAACTTAAACATGTATGTGCTAATAATGAGTACCTTAGTGTCTAGTCCGGGAGTCGCGAGGAGACGCGAGGTACGAATGATATTGTCCCTCGGAAAAGTCGCACGACTCCCACGAACGTTGTGGATTTTCTTTTTTCTAAGACATTACTTTATTTATTCAGAGCCACCGCCGATTCACGCGCGTATCCTTTCTCGATGAAGGACCGCGGTGGTCTCGGCGTGGCGCCAGGATCTCGAACATTAGTGCAAATTAAGGCGTCGAACAGGCATTAGAACGTCGCCGCGTAACCGTAAGCGCAAACTCGCTGATCGGAGGGTGTTCGAACGACGATTGGTCTCCCCCTTCATCATCGCTCATAATTATATCGCAACACTATTATACGAATACAGTAAGCAGTATACAGCGCGACGCGCTTTGTATATGCAGATATATATACGAGGTGTTTTCCCTCGATTGGTTCCCTCGCGCAAGCGAAACGGTAACTTTTATTCGCAATTTCAGATGTATATTTCGCGTGCTTGTTACGCGCGAGCACCAATAGAATATTAATAGATCGTTATTGATAGAGAGTAAATTAAGGGCGTACTGATACCACGTTGAAAAATGAGACCACAGCTCGACAGCTGGAATTTCATGCGGATACGTGAGAGATGAATCATATTTCGACGCATCCTCTCGGTATCAGCGAGACGTCCGTTTTTTTCGAGACGTTTCTTTCATAATATACATGCGAATATACACATTTGCCATTATAATAATTATTCTCCTTCTCGCTATTATTGCCGTATTATTATGATTATACTTTATTCTTATTACTATTATTATTGCCATCGTCATCGTCTCATTATTATTATTATTATTATTATTAATTATCATTATTATTATTATTACTTATGATCGTGTATATTTTCTGTGTCTTTTGTCTAGTAGCTACGTGTAATCTTTAACACCTCATTACTTACTCTCGTATAATAATACTAGAGGAAGATATAAAGAAGTACTTTACTCACTCTTCACTTGCTCACTTAACATTGCTCTACTATCGCCACTTTCTGCCAATCGCTCTATAACTATTACGTTGCTACTACCGCTACTGCTGTGCTGTTGCCACCACTACTACCACTTACTACTACTACTACTACTACTACTACTACTACTTACCAAAAACTATTTATTTATTTATTTAATTATTAAATAACATAACAACTTATTATGTTTTATTTAAGGATTAAACTGATTTGTGTTTGGTTCAAATGTCGTTTGTTTTATTTCTATTAAAAATGTTTCAGTTGCCATTCACCCGGCATCCCGACCTTCTCCACGATTATCGCCTTCGATTCGTCCTTCCTCTCAACCCATCCTCTCTTCATCGACATTCCACGATCTCTTCCTGACATTCCACGAGTTACAGACTGATGTAATAGCGATGTAAAAAAAACAAAACGGCGAGCCGCTCGACCTCGATGCACGAGACTCCGCTCATGGATCCTGGTTCGTAGCGTCTTTATTATTTATAAATTATTTATACTATTAATATAGTCACGAACGCCGCCATAGGTAAAAACGAATGCGACTGAATTGCTCGTTTTAATTATTAAAAATCTTTGGAGGTGATATTTCGATCGTACCGTACCAGGTGTATCCGCGAAAGATGCTACTGCGCGTCATCTCTTGCGTGCGAGATGAGAGTTTTGAAAATATTTTCAGTACACATATTGGCGGCGTTCACGACAGCGCGTTGAATGGTCTAGAATTCTAGAAATTACTATGCGTAATGGTGTAGCCAACAACAATAGAAGGAATAAGGAATAATGATTTCAGCCTATCGGAAACCGTGTATTTCGGTGTATTCGATTTCTAACAAGTTGAAATCTTTATCCCTAATTCCTTATTCCATCTGTGTTGTGGCTGCATCCTAATTCAAGTTTTAAGCCTTAAGTTTTAAGCCTAAGTTTTAGTCCTTAATATTCCATTTATTACTCCCGGAATTTTACATTGTGTACGTTCCAAAGAGAGTTACGATCGAAACGATTGCATTGTAGAGGGATGGACTCGATTCAAAGTGAAGAAAAGAAAATCGAGTCGTTTGGTCGATCACGATATTGTAAAAATAAATATATGAATTTTGTTATACTGACAGTGTACACGCGAAATGGATTCTTCGCGAGGACGATATTGAGAGCTTTTCAACAAGCGACACTTCGCGACACGGTGATCACCCCGTCTCTGTTTAACATTGACGAACAACAAAGATGCAACGATTCACCGTGCCACATCTGTGTCATCTGTGTCTCTTGTTGGAAAGCTTCCATTTGTGGTCTCTCGAAATAAATTCCGCGTCGATCAACGTCGATCCAACGACGACGTCCGGATACGACCATCGAATTACTCCTGCCGTTTCGAAGGACTTAAAATCATCTGACGATCCACGATACTTGTTCGAGCGATTCACACGTCGGGTAAAAAGGAATTCGAATTTCCGGGAGTCCAGCAGAATGTCGACTAGAGTTACTTGCGTATCCTCCGCAATGACGGAATGATTCGGAAGATAAGTAAGATGGCTTTGTATTCGGTTACGTCGAGTATTGGCGATCGAGCACTCGTTGATCCTTGAAGTCCGAGAAGCATCTTTTCTGGATCCCGATCGAATGGTCCGAAGGGTGACGCGTCGCTCGAGACGCGAGGGGTAGACACGGTGAGGGATGTTAAATAATAATGAGGGTGGGATAGGAAAGAAAAAGAGAAACATGGACACGAGGGCCAAGGTGATTCAAGGTTGAGGAGAGCGAAATGCGATGAGAGGAGAGGGCGACGACCGAACGATTAAAGAGTGATGCGAGCCCTACCCCACCCTTAAGGGGTGCCGACTCGCTCGCAACGATTTGTCGACCGAATTAACGTCGTAGGCGAAAGGATGGAGAGAGGCGAGTTTGAAAGAGAGAAAGTTAGTGAGAGTGAGAAAGAGAGAGAGAGAGAGAGAGAGAGAGAGAGAAAGCGCGAGAACGAGAGAAAGAGAGGGAGAGAA